CCAAGAGATACAAATTCCAGTCCCCTGCTTGAGCTACTGCTATTATAGAAAGTCAGTTACCTCCTACGACTGTTTCTTCATTTGTTTAAAAATAAATGTGCATTTTTATAATACGGATTAAAACAGACTGTTTTCAAAAAGCAGGGGTACATATTCTCAAAGATTCTCTTTGAACAAGCCGAAAAAAATCATATGAATTCATGAATGCCCAACAATATTAGATACATGGTATCTAGACAGGGCTTGGGGTAGTTAGAACTGAAAAATTTGTATATATTTCAGAACTTTTTATTTTAATGAATCAACTATTTTTTAGAGCAGTTTGAGGCACATGCACAATTATGCAGAAATTACGGGAGTTTGTAGATCCCTCCCCACTCCCATTCCCCACTGATGCACAACCTCTCCCAGCACCCATGTTTCATGCCACAGTGGTACACTTTTTTTTTTTTTTTAATTGAGACAGTCTCGCACTGTCGCCCACGCTGCAGTGCAGTGGTGCGTTCTTTGCCCACTGCAGTCTCCATCTCCAGGGTTCAAGCAATTCTCCTGCCTTAGCCTCCCCAGTAGCTGGGACTACAGGCGTGTGTCACCGTGCCCAGCTAATTTTTTTGTATTTTTAGTAGAGACAGGGTTTCACCTATTTTGCCAGGATGGTCTTGATCTCCTGACCTTGTGAACATTTCTCATCATTGATGAACCTGTATCGACACATCATTCTTACCCAGAGTCCATAGTTTACATTAGGGTTCACTGTTGGTGTTGTGCATTCTATGGGTTTTGACAAATGTATAATGACTTGTATTCATCATTGTAGATTCATGAAGAATGACTTCACTGCACTAGAAATCCTGTGTGCTTTGCTTATTCATTCTTCCCTCTCTAACCCCTGGTGATCACTGGTCTTTTTCACCATCTATATATTTACCTTTTCTAGAATGTCTTACATTTGGAATTATAAAGTATGTGGCATTTTCAGATTGACTTCTTTTACTTAGTAATATGCATTTAAGTTTCCTCTCTGTCTTTTAATGGCTTTATATCTCATATCTTTTTGGCACTGAATAATAGTCTACTATCCGGATATACCACAGTTTATTTATTATATCTACTTCTTGGTTGCTTCCAAATTTTGGCAATAATGAATAAAACTGCTTTATAAGGATTATGTGCAGGCTTCTGTGTGGCCATAAGTCTTCAGCTCCTTTGGGTAAATACCAAGGAATGTGATTGCTGGATCATGTGGCAAGAATATATTTAGTTTTTTAAGAAACTGTTAATCTGTAGAATGTACTATTTTGCATTCCCACCAGCAATGAATGAAAGTTCCTGTTTCTCTACATCCTTGTCAGCATTTGGTGTTGCCAGTGTTTTGGATTTTGGTCATTCTGATAGTTGTGTGATAGTATCTTGTTTTAATTTGCAATTCTCTAAAGACATATCATGTGCAACATCTTTTTATATGCTTGTTTTCCATCTGTATATCCTCTTTGATGAGGTGTCTGCTCAGGTCTTTTGCTATTTTTTAATTGGGTTGTTTGTTTTCTTATTGTTGAGTTTTAAGAGTTCTTTGTGTATTCTGGATAATAGTCCTTCATCAGATGTGTCTTTTGCAAATATTTACTCCCAGTCCGTGGCTTGTCTTTTCATTCTCTTGACATTGTCTTTCATGGAGCAAAAGTTTTTTTATTTTTCATGAAGTCCAGCTTATCAATTATTTCTGTCATAGATTGTACCTTTGGTGTTGTATCTAAAAAGACTGCCATACCCAAAGTCAACTAAGTTTTCTCCTGTGTTAACTTCTAAGAGTTTATAGTTTTGCATTTTACATATAGGCCTCTGATGTATTTTAAGTTAATTTTTGTGAAGGGTTGTAAGGCCTATGTCTAGATTCATTTTCTTGTAGTGAATGTCCAGTTGGTTCTAGCATCATTTGTTGAAAAGATATTCTTTGCTTCATTTTAGTGCCTTTGCTCCTTTGTCAAAGATGAATTCACTATATTTATGTGGGTCTGTTTCTGGGCTTTCTGTTCCATTCCTCTGATCTACTTGTCTTTTTTTCACCAATATCACATTGTCTTGGTTATTATGGCTTTAAAATAGTAAATGTTGAAGTTAGTATCAGTTCTCCAACTTTCGTCAATACTAAGTTGGCTATTCTGGGTCATGAGGGAAGATCTAAGTCTCTGAAAATATTGAATCTTTCTATCTAAGAACATGGGATATCTCTCCATTTTTTTAGTTCTTTGATTGCTTTCATCAGAGTTTTGCTATTTTCTTCATATAGATCTTGTACATATTTTGTTAGATTTATACCTAAGTATTTCACTTTTTGGGGTGTTTGTATAAATGGTAAAGTGTTTTTAATTTCAAATTCTACCTTAATGCTGGTATATAGGAAAAGAGTTGACTTTTGTATATTAGCCTTATGTCTTACAACTTTGCTATAATCTCTTATTAGTTCCAGGAGGTTTTTTGTCATTTCTAATTTGCTATAAAGACAATCATGCAGTCTGCACACAAAGTTTTAACTTCCTTCCCCATCAGTATATCTTTTGTTTCCTTGTCTTGTCTTGTTGCATTAGCTAGGACTTCCAGTACAGTGTTTAAGACCAGTGGTGGGGTGGGACATCCCAGCCTTGCTTATAATCCCAGTGGGAAGACTTGGAGTTTCTTACATTATGAATGATATTAGCTGTATGTTTTTTATAGACGTTCTTTATGAAGCTGAGGAAGTTTCCCTCTATTTCTAGTTTGTTAGAGTTTTTATCATGAATGGGCATTGGATTTCTGCCAGATGCTTTTTCTGCGTCTTTCTGTTGACTTGTTCATGTGACTTTTCTTCTTTAGCCTGTTGATGCGATGGATTACATTAATTGATTTTGAATGTTGAGCCAGCCTTGCATACCTGTGAGAAATTCCATTTGGCCATGATGTATAATTCTCTTTAGGCATTGTTAGAGTCAAGTTGCTAATATTTTGTTGAGGATTTTTGCATTTACCTTCATGAGAGATACTGGTCTGTGGTTTTCTTTTCTTGTAATGTCTCTGTGTGGTTTGGTGGTAGGTTAATGTTGGCCTCAAATAATGAGTTGGGAAATGTTCCCTCTGTTTCTATCTTCTGGAAGAGTTTGTAGAAAATTGGTATAATTTCTTTCTTAAATGTTTGGTAGAACTCACTAGTGAATACATGTTGGCCTGTTGCTTCTACTTTGGGGGGGGTTATCATTGATTCACCTTCTTTAATAGATATAGACCTATTCAGATAGTCTATTGCTGCATGTGTGAGTTTTGACAGATTGCATCATTCAAGGAATGGGATCATTTTATTTAGGTTGTATTTGTGGACTTATATTTTTAATGTCTATTGGGTGTACAGTGATGCTGATATTAATAAATTGTATTGTCTATTTTTTTTCTTTGTTACCATGGCCATCTTTGATTTTCTGACACTTGAAAACGATATGCCTAGGCTTAATGTCCTCTGCACTTCCTGGATCTGTGATGTGGTGTCTGTCATTAATTTGAGGAGATTCTCACTCATTATTGCATCAAATATTGCTGCCCTTCTCTCTTCCCCTTCTGGTGTCCTATTTTGCATTAGTTATTTTTTTTTCTAGTCTTCCCACTGTTAAATATTCTGTTCTGTTTTTTAAATCTTTTTTTCCTTTGCTTTTTAGTTTTGGAAGTTTCTGTTGTTACATCTTCAAGCTAAGAGATTCTTTCCTCAGTCGTGCCCAGTCTGCTAATGAGCTCATCAAAGGCGTCTTCATTCCTGTTATGGTGTTTTTTATCTCTAGCATTTCTTTTTGATTCTTTCTTAGAATTTCCATTTCTCTGCTTACATTATCCAACTATTCTTACATGTTTTGTACTTTTTCCATTAAAGCCCCTGGCTATTTAATCATAGTCTAAAAAAATTCCTGGTGTGCTAATTTGGACATTCCTGCTATATCTGAGTCTGGTGTTGAAGTTTTCTCTGTCTCTCCAAACTGTTTTCTGGTTTTGTGTGTTTATTTGCCTTTTAGTATGCCTTGTAATTTTTTGTTGAAAGATGGACATGATGTACTGCATAAAAGGAACTGCTATAGCTAGGCCTTTAGTGATGTGGTAGTGGGGTGTAGGGGAGGAGAAGCTTTCTGTAGTCCTGGGATTAGGTCTCAATCTTTTGGTGAGCTTTTGCTCCTGGCTGTGAACTTCCCAAAAGCCCTCAGGCTTTTTTGCTCCCTAGATGATACAGGATGGCTGGAGGGAGCTGGAATTGGGTATTTGTTTTTCTCCAGGTAGGTTAGGCTCTGATAAAACTGTAGCTAGTTAGGCTTCTGTAAAATAGTTTTCTTGAAGGCCGACCTTGGTGAAAAAAGCGTGCTTTGGCAGATTTCAAAATGGCTCCTTTTCCCTCTCCCACTGCTAGAAACAAGAGGGGATTTTTCTTTAGTATTCTTTGTGAGGACTTGATAGAGCTCTAGGAGGTAAAGCTCACAGAAGTGTTGGGGGGCCTTATGACTGAGTCCTCCCAGAATTTTTAACTCTCAGAGTTGTGCACACTGATCCTCCCACAATTCATTGATTACAGTTCAGGTTTTCTTAACCTGGCACTTGTCCCTACAGAGGCTTTTGCTCATATATTGTTTTTGTTTTGTTTTTTTTGAGATGGATTCTCCCTCCATCACTCAGGCTGGAGTGCATTGGTGTGATCTGGGCTCACTGCAGCCTCCGCCTCCCAGGTTCAAGTGATTCTCCTGCCTCAGCCTCCCGAGTAGTTGGGATTCTGGGATTCCAGGCACCCGCCACCACGCCCAGCTAATCTGTGTATTTTTAGTAGAGACAAGGTTTTGCCATGTTGACCAGGCTTGTCTCAAACTCCTGACCTCAAGTGATCCGCCCACCTTGACCTCCCAAAGTGCTCAGATTACAGGCGTGAGCCCCTACACCTGGCCTGTGTTTTTTGTTCATTAAGTTGTGATTCTCTGTGTCTGCCTGTTTGTTTCTCATTTTAGGGACAGTGATTTGCCCTGTGACCTTTCTTCTCTGACGAATTAAAGAAGAGTTGTTGATTTCTCAGTTTGTTCAACTTTGTTTACTTTTAGGACGTGGCGACTTCTAAGCTCCTGACATGCCAGAATGGAAACTGAAACTCTGAAATATTTTTATTTATATTTTTACCTGTCAGTTTCAATGTCAGCAAATGTAGAAATGGTGAGATGTAAAGAGAATCATCCATAATCCTCTAACAAAGGTAATGACTGGTTTTTTTTTTTTGACATGTCTTTCTGCCCTTTTCTTAGTGTACTTTTTTCTTTATGCAAGTGAGATTATATAATTTCCTCAAAGATCCTCAAAGATAAGATCCTCAAACCCAAAACTGAACTGGATGTCTCTTCCCCTAAACTGTGTGTTCTTGTATTATCTGGATCATCTTATCATCCACCCACTCACCAAGCCAGGAACCTGGGAATTGTTTCCCTTCTTTCTTCACATCCCTCCAGTCCCAAAATCATGACAGCTGTGCTTTCTCAGTGTTTTTTGGCTCTCTCCTATTACCAGTTCTCCTGCTTGAAACCCTCATTGATTTTCTCCTGATCTCCTGCAACAGCAGAGCTGTCTCCAGCCTTATCCCCTCACATTCTGTACACGTGACTTAGGTGATACATTTAAAATGCTTATCTTACCACATGACTTTGCTGCTTAAAGCCCTTCAAACCCCTCAATGGCTGCTCATTGCTTTTAGGATAAAATCCAAGCTCGTAAGCATGGCCCATATATCCCTCTGTGGCCATGACCCCTGCCTGCCTCTCCAGATTCGTCTCTTAACACTCCTATTCCCTGCCTTATGTTCCAGTAATAATCTCAGCTGCTAATCCTCCTGCCTGCCACACGGTATGCTTTCTTATCTGTGTGCCTCATGCAGGCGTGCCTGCCAGGGCTGCCTCTTTCTCCCATTCTTTTTACCTCATCTGTGCCTCCATATCTTTTAAGACACAGGTCAGCTGTTCTTCCCTCAAAGCTTGACTCTAACTCCTGGACTCCCCTACGCCCCAAACTGTGCTTCTGTGTACAAATCCATCATTACGTTTCCTTTTAGTTCTTTATTCATTCCACCAACTAATCAACAGTATTTGTGTTAAGCAGAATTTTAAGCACTGGGATACAGCAGCTGAGAAAATTAAATTCCTACCCTGATGGAGCTTACATTCTAGTGGATGAAGATAGATAATAACAAATGAAAATATAGCATGTCAGTAGGTGATACGCTATGAAGAAAAACAAAGCCAACTAAGGAGCGGGGTGTTCTAAGGTTGGAGGGGAGGTTGTGTTGAAAGAACATGGTCAGGGAAGGCCTTACTGCTAACATGGCCTTTGAGCAGAGAGCTGGTGGAAGAAATGAGCCAGCCAGCTGGGCACAGATATACTCAGCATGCTCTGCCCTGAGGCAGAGAACGCAGAGCATGCTTAGTGTATTCCAAGGTCAGCAAGGAAGGTGGAGTGCTCAGAGCGGAATGGGTGAGGGGGAGAGTGGTAGAAGATGAGGTTAGGAGCCAATGGCAGCGAGATCATGATGAAAGGCTTGCTATGCCATTGTAAGAACTTTAAGACTGGAAGCCATGTAAGGCTTTTTGTGCAAAGCAGCAGCAAGATCTGGCCGTGCGTTAAGTAGATAGCTCTGTAGCAGTAGGGCAGGATGGAGGTATGAAGACTAATTAGGAGATTGCTGCAGTAATCAGGTAAGAGATGATGGCAGCTTAGACTGGCTGGAGTGGAGCCAGTGAAGGAAATTGGTGATTGGATTTTGGATATACTTTGAAGGTAGAGCCAACAGGATTTATAAAGGATTGGACATAGGGTATGAGAAAAAAACAAAAGTCCAGGATGACTTGGTTTCAGTCTGGAAGAACTAGAATAAGAACTAGAAGGACATAATTGCTGCGAAGTGGGGAAGGTGGAGGGAGAGTTTTGGATATGTTACGTTTCAGGAACCAGGCTTCCAACTGGGGATGTTGAGTAGGTAGTTGGAGGCCTACATCAAGAGATCAGAGGAAAAGGCTGAGCCAGAGATGTAAATCTGAAAGCTGTCAGCATTTAGGTGATATTTCTAAGCTATGGAATCAGAAGAGAGGGAAGGGAAGAAGTGGGCTGACTGGGCCCTCGAGCACTCCAAGCTTTAGAGGCTGCAGTGGTGCAGAGGAGCCAACCAAGGAGTCTGGGAAGGAATGGCTAGTGAGTGAGTAAGAGAACCAGGCGACAAATGCATTGTCAGAGGAAGAGAATGATGATCTCTGTCCATTGTTAGGGCTAGACTGAATAGGCCAAGGACACTGTATTATAAGTCTCCGTCTACATGTTTATCTCCTGGATGGCTGAGAGCTCCTTGGGAGCAGGAATGGTACAGCTTTGAAGTCAATGAGGTGGCTGTTTTTCCTTAGGGTAATTCTCTTGGTCCTTTAAAGCTCTAATCTCATCTGTAAAATGGGGAGGGAATAATACCTTTTCCACTGAGTCATTGTGAGACTCAAATGAGATCGTCCATACAAAGGATTATGCACAGTCCCTTTCATATATTTAAACACATAGTGATAACGATCATTATTGATTTAGTATACCTGGCATACTGTCTCTCCCCATTAAGCAACATTAGTTGAATGAATGAGTGAAATGCCTTTCTGTTCATTTAGCATTTCATTCAAGGCCTTTCCTATGTGTTTGTGAAGTTTTAACCTGATATTTTGTGGATTTGTCTAGGGCCTGTCCTCCCAAGGCAGACTGTAGGAGAAGAGAGGAAGAGGAGTTCTTGGGGCAGAGTTGGCACGATGGAGCTCCCCAACTACAGCCGGCAGCTGCTGCAGCAGCTCTACACTCTGTGCAAGGAGCAGCAGTTCTGTGATTGCACCATCTCCATTGGTACCATTTACTTCAGGGCTCACAAACTTGTCCTGGCTGCTGCCAGCCTCCTGTTCAAAACCCTGCTGGATAACACGGATACCATCTCCATCGATGCATCTGTGGTGAGCCCCGAGGAGTTTGCCCTCTTGTTAGAAATGATGTACACGGGCAAACTACCTGTGGGCAAGCACAACTTCTCCAAAATCATCTCCTTAGCAGACAGTCTGCAGATGTTCGATGTGGCTGTTAGCTGCAAAAACCTTCTGACCAGCCTTGTAAACTGCTCTGTTCAGGGTCAGGTGGTAAGGGATGTCTCTGCGCCATCCTCAGAGACGTTCAAGAAGGAACCAGAGAAGCCTCAAGTGGAAATCCTTTCATCCGAAGGTGCTGGAGAGCCTCATTCTTCCCCAGAGGCTTCTGCCACTCCAGGGGGCCCTGTGAAAGCTGAGACCGAGGAAGCAGTCTATGCAGTTTCACAAGAGATGAGTGTGAATTCTCCCATAGCCCAGGAGAGCCAGAGGAATGCAGAAACCCCAGTGGAGACTCTTAATACAGCTGAAGTTTGTTCCCCTTCCCCGGCTGTGCAAACCTCTAGTGAGGCAAAGGAGACAAGCACAGAACCAGGTGACATTCATTGCTTTGTAATCCATCCTTCTGTTTTCAGTTACCAGATTGAATGATCTTTATCAGTTTTAATGTTTCAGTGATAAATTTATCAAAGACCACTGTTAGGTAGAAAACCAAAATTCAGTGCAGTACTGTACTAGGGCATTCTTCTTTTAAAAGTGTCTGTGTTTTTGAACATTGAAAGTCCAAAGATGAACTCCAGAGCAGAAAAGCAGTATTGGAATAATGATGTGCCATTTCTATAATTATCTGGGCTTTTGTTGTTGTTCTTTCTCTAGACAGAGTCTCGCTCTGTCGCCCAGGCTGGAGTGCAGTGGTGCGATCTTGGCTCACTGCAACCACCGCCTCCTGAGTTCAAGCTATTCTCCTGCCTCAGCCTCCCAAGCAGCTGAGATTATAGGCGTGCACCACCACACCCGACAAATTTTTTGTATTTTTAGTAGAGACAGGGTTTCACCATATAGGCTAGGCTGGTCTTGAACTCCTGACCTCATGATCCACCTGCCTCGGCTCCCAAAGGGCTGGGATTACAGGTGTGAGCCACTGTGCCCAGCCTCCAGCTGATTATCTGTTATTTTAACCAGGCTGAGGACAGCACAAAGGAGAAAGCTGTAAGAGATGTCTGTCATTCATAACTAATGTGCTAGAGATGAGTTAAGTGCAGTATGTGACCTGAATGTGCTCAGACAGCTTAAACTTGTGAACATTTACTTCAAGCAATGAATTCTGATTTGTTTTATTTCGTTCTACATTTAGCATGTGAAAGGCAACATGACCAGCTGAATTTTCTTCTAGAAAATGAAAGTATCTTCTCAGAAGCACTCATGGTTACCCAAGATGTTTTAAAAAAACTAGAAGCGTGTTCAGAAATTAAAGGTCCACAGAAGGAGGTAGGTACCTCTGAGTTTTGTACTTTTTGGCTAGCTTAGTGTTCTCAGGAGACCTTACTAACTTTCCATATGGGGCAGAAATAGCCCAGGGTTTCAATGTTTTGAAACTTTTAATTTTTTTTGACATTTATTTCCTAAAGGACAGTCTTGCAAAAGTACTAGGCAAGATACTTTCAAAACGAAGTTACATTTTGATCACCAGGAGAATCCCAGTTTCTAACCAGCTTTGATCCAGGATGCTTAACTGATCATACCATTTCCTCCTGAGTGATCACAGATAAAATTAAGAAGGTAGCCATGCATAACCCCAAACCTGAGACTTAAACAATTAAAATTAAAACAAAACAACAGATACTCAAAACATGAATGAAAAAGGACTCTATATAAACTTACAAATTATTGATAAAATGCATCCAATATTTAGGAATAACAGTGGGCATTTTCAGACATAAAAACAGTAATGGTAAACATTTATTGAATACTTCCTGTATTAAGCTTGGCATATGTGTTATCACATTTAATTTTCACAAACATCATCAGTGTGGGTATTATTGTTAAGTTCTGTTTTATGGATGAGAAAACGTTCTCAAAGAGGCGGTGTAATTTGGCAAAGGTCACAGAGCTCATATGACCCTGAGCCAGAATTCAAACCTCAGCATTCTGACTTTAGAGCTGTTCCCTTCCACACTGAGTTATACTGCCTCCCAACAGGGTAAAAGTGATGCATATATGTGCAAGTGTTTAGGAATTGCCTGACAGAAAACTGCCAGATGGCCATCATGCTTTCTTAGCTGACCTCTTTTTTTAAGTAACTCAGTTGAGACGCATTCCCACGTGTTTGATCCCTCAATACCTGATTCTTCACACCTGACCCTGCAGAATTTGACTCCACAACCAATTTAGAACTCCATTTATTTCCTTTTCCTCCCAGCCCTACATTCCCATTCTTAGAGGCTGCTGGCAGGGTGAGAGGGCACTGCCCCAGCAGGCTTGCTCCTCTTGTTGGTGGGGGGGTAGGTGTGGATAGGTCCTCTCATGATGCTGTAGGCAATTTTGTATTAATCCAAGTAATACATGCCTTCTAATAATTAAATGTTTTCCTGATTCATAGCAAGTTACTTTTTTTAAAAAACAAATTCAAGGTCTAGTATTTATTTTAGCTGTGTTAATTGACAGTTGGTTATACATTGTTTTCTTGGGAGACAAGCTATTTACAAGGCTGGGCTAACCCTGATGACTCTCTTTGGGAGGTTTCAAGTCATAAATCCTTGGTACTCTTTGTACTGATTATGCTGAAGGACATTATGGTTTTTTATTTTTGCGCTTGCACATTCTCTTACTGTTCAATTCATCATTTTTGTTATTAGCTTGTTACCTTGATAGCTTCTAGACACACCTCTTCATTTTCTCTTAAGGCTTCCTTTCCACTTAACTTTGGCTATAGAGGAGTAACATTATTCCTTAGGTCAGCAATACTCAAGTTATTAATGTCACCTTTAATGGTGGCATTATAGCAACCTCCATACTTATTCCAAATGTGTCTTATGTATTTTTTTAACATTGGTGCCTAAAAGTATATGGCTTATAACAGGTGATCAAGAAATCCATCTGTTGTACATGGATCCATCCAACATGTCTTTCTTTTTTTCCATTTCTTGTTCTAATCTTTTGATGGCAATATCATTAATAGTACCTTAAAAGAACACTGATTTGCTGTTGGTGATCATTATAGGCTTATGTTATTTCTTCCTCAGTTTTAGAGATCAGAGCAGAAGCTCTGCAAATCACTTGATGGCTGTTTTTAAAACCGATTCTGTTACAGTCCATAATAAATCTTCGAACTTCAGAAAGGAGAAAAGGGAAAAGATACTTTAAGAACATAAGGTTAAATAGGGAGTTGGGGAGATGCTGCTTTGTACTTGGGCTTCCACTTCTCTCTCTCTCTCCTTCTCTCTCTCTCTCTCACTCGCCCTCTCTCTCGTACTTTGTTTCAGACAGCCTTATTGAGCTATGAATGACATGCAGTAATCTGTACATGTTATGGTGTACAGTGTGATCAGTTTTGATATTAGCCCTGAAACCATCACCACAGTCAAGATGGTAAACATCTCCATCACCCCCAAAAGTTTCTTCGTGTCCCTGTGTACTCCCTCTCTCCTGCCACTTCCACTTACCCATGGCCTGGGTAACCTCTGGTCTGTTTTCTGTCACTGTACATAAGTTTGTATTTTCTAGAGTATTGTATAAATGAAGTCATATGGTTATGTATTTTTTGTCTGGCTTTCATTCAGCGTTAAGTATCTTGAGATTCATCCATGTTTTTTTTTTTTTTCTCCTTTTTCCTTTTTCTGTGAACTCTACAGAGAAGTATGCCCATGCTGTTGTGCAATCATTCCTTCTTATTGCTGAATCGTGCCCCATTGTGTGGCTATACAATTCATATATCCAGCGCTACCATTTACTAGCATTGTGACCTTAGGCAGCTTCATCTTTGTAAGCCTCAGTGTCCTCATTTGTAAAATGGGGATGCTATCACCTATATCATGGAGTCATTGTGAATTAAGATTCTTTATATAAAACTCATAGTAAAATGCCAGGCACTCAGTAGGAGCTCAGTAGGTAACAACTGCTATTGTTTATTTATACATTAACTCAGTATTTTTTTTTTTTTTTTTTTTTTTTTGAGACAGAGTTTCACTCTTGTTACCCAGGCTGGAGTACAATGGCGCGATCTCGGCTCACCGCAACCTCCACCTCCTGGGTTCAGGCAGTTCTCCTGCCTTAGCCTCCTGAGTAGCTGGGATTATAGGCACGCGTCACCATGCCCAGCTAATTTTTTGTATTTTTAGTAGAGACGGGGTTTCACCATGTTGACCAGGATGGTCTTGATCTCTTGACCTCGTGATGCACCCGCCTCGGCCTCCCAAAGTGCTGGGATTACAGGCGTGAGCCACCACGCCCGGCCTAACTCAGTATTTTTACACCTAAGAGACCTTGAAACCCCCTTTTCGCTAAATGCCTTATAATACCCTGGTGCTGTGGCCATTTTCTCTGACACATGAGATGGTTTTCTGCTACTTTAAGCTTAATTTGTAAGGCATGCTTTCAGGTAGGTACCACCATCCACTTGGAAGTAGCTTCCTAAACTGCAAGGGCAGTGTCTAGTCTGAAGCAATCAGTTTCTAGAACAGTCTGTAGAGGAAGTAGCTTCCCGTACTGCAGGGGTTGTGTCTAGTATGAAGCAACCAGTCTCTAACTATGTATGGAAAAATCATCTGAGGTGCTTGTTAAAATGTATACCTCCAGAACTCATTTCCACAGTGTCTGATTCTTAGGTTATGGTAGAACTTGGGAATCTACATCTTTAACAGGCTCCCCATGGGTTGCTGTTTTGGAATCTGTAGACGACATTTTGGAAAGCGTAGCTAGAGAAGTGAATGGCTTACAGAACTCTTAGTGTGTGATGGTAGGTGTCATAATGTCTGTGCTGGCACCTTTCAGTGGCATGAGAGGCCACCGAATACCCATTTTCCTCACTGGCTTACCCTTTGATTTAGCAGATGTTTACTGAGCAACTGATATGTGCCAGACTGAGCTGCTTGCTGGGCAAAGAAACTTCAATAAGACTTAATCCCTGTCCTTAAAGAGTATCTTGACAGCAGAGAAATCCTGCCACATGTGTGATTATTTTGGAGGAGGTATGCGCAGGAGTCACCAAGTTACAGATTTCACCATAAGGCTTCAGCACTGAGTGCATTTAAGAGCTGTTCACTTGGAACAACATTGTTTTACATTTCTGTACAATTTTGAAGTTTGTTTGGGGTATTTTGTTTTTCTGTTTATACATTTTTAGCTCCCCAAGAGCTTTGAGTGGTGTCCTGTGATTGGTGGTTTCTTAGTTAATCATCATAACTTGGGAACAGCTTAACATTAAAAATAGTCTACTGGATGTGTCACTCCTTTTCTGAAACACAGCTGTGGAGTGTGCAACTGGGCAGGATTGAGTTTAAGGAGGGCACCATGAACCAATGTCCTGATTATTTTATTTCCTGAGATCAATGAAGAAAGGTGGCAAAGCCATCCCCTGAGCAGTGATTGCAGCAACATATGAGAGAAAGCTGGCTTCCTTGAATTGTGGGAAACCAAAGCCAAAACTTATTAAGGAGAAATCTCTTGGGTGCTAGGATGGGAACATGCCTTCTTCCTGTCTTTATATCAGTGTAATATCCTTTATCCATTAGAAAAGCAGGTGGTGACCCAAGAGGTCACTTCTGACCTCTGGCTGAGCTGAGTAAAACTTTTATTTAGAGCTAGACTCATACTTTTTTTCAGTTTTTATGCTAGGGTTTTTTTGTTTTTGTTTTCGTTTTTGAGACGGAGTCTTGTTTTGTCGCCCAGGCTGGAGTACAGTGTCGCAGTCTCAGCTCACTGCAACCTCCACCTCCCGGGTTCAAGCGATTCTCCTGCCTCAGCCTCCCGAGTAGCTGGGATTACAGGCATACGCTACCACACCTGGCTAATTTTTATATTTTTAGTAGAGACAGGGTTTCACCATATTGGTCAGGTTGGTCTCGAACTCCTGACCTCAGACGATCCACCCGCCTTGGCCTCCCAAAGTGCTGGGATTACAGGCATGAGCCATCATGCCTGGCCTTTTTTTTTCTTTTTTTTTTTTTTACATTTTAGGAAACATTTATTTAACTATTTTCTGTACATCAGCACTAACAAGTTTCGACACTGCCGCTTATTTGTTATGTGGCTTCAGGCAAGTTGTTTTGCCTCTCTGTGCAGGTTTTCACATGGGTAAAAACAAACAGATAAAGGCAAGGTAGGGGTTGAACAGGATGCTCCCTGGAGCCCCCGCTGGCACTGACATTTTCCAGTTCTCTCCTCTGTGTTTCCTGACATGCGTCTGCCTCCTGACCTGTAGGCAGCAGAGGTGCTATGGATGGAGAACAGCATGGAGCTAACAAGACTTGCATACAGTGAGACACAGTGGA